GCAAACAGTTCTTCCCAGCCCGATCATGGGAGATTTCGAGAGGAGCAGCTGAGGTGGGCTGGGGAAATGGCTTAGCTGGCAATGTACTTGCCACACAAGCAGGATGACCTGACTTTGATCACCAGAACCCATGTAAATAATTATAATAATAACAATAAATTAAAAGCCAGGTGTGATAGTGTACACTTGTAATCCTAGCACCAGGGAGAAACCCTGATACTCACTCGCCAGCCAGCCTAACCTACTTTGGTGAGCTCTAGGCCAGTGAGAGATCCTGTCTCAAAAACAAACAAACAAACAAACAAAAAGATGGTGGCTGGAGAGATGGCTCAGTCAGTAAAGCGCTTGCTGTACAAGGCTTAGGACCTGAGTTCAAATCCCGTCATAAAAGCTAGGGGAATGTCTGGGGACAAAAAGGACAGTGGGATCCCTGGAGCTTTCTATCTAGCCTGTCAGTTCCAGTGAAAGACCGTCTCCAAAAAAACATAAGCTGGAGAGCAACGGAAGATACTTGTGTCGACCTCTGGCCTCCATGTGTGCACAGGTAAGTGCAATCACATACACACAATACATACTATTGTACACAGACGAGGCAGATGGCTCCTCCACAAGTATGTGTACACATGCATACATATACACACACACACAAATATACACAAGAACTATAAGCCTGTGCAGGCACAGGTACCCTCATACCCCAGGTCCCCAAAGCTGACACATGATCCAGGGGTTTCCATAAATCCCTTTATTGATACAGCAAAATGGGAAAGAATAAAGTCCCCAGGTGACCCACAGGACTGAAAGTGCAAATCCACTCCAACTTCAAACAGAAAATGAGTGGCAGGCTTGGACCACGGGGCCACGGAAAGTTGGTGTGTTTAAAAAAGCTTAAATCACATGGTTACTATAGCAGCCAAACCAGGTTGATTAACTCTTTGGTCTGTGTGATTGAACCAACTTAGGCTGTGACTGTGGCCACCAAACTGTATCACAATGCTCAGCTTGGGGTCAGAAGGCACATTAAAAACAGCAAGAGCTGGAATGCTTCAAGTCTGACGACTGAGTCAGGGCACCTTCTATCTGTTTCTCTCTCTCCTTCTCTCTCTCTCTCTTCCTTTCAAGCAAAAGGTGCTAAAATATTCCTGAATATCAAATACTTCGAAAACAAGATTATATATTATTTAGCTATACATTCTAGTCTACTTCTCTGTACACATGGTCACACATTTGCCACCCTCTCCTGACTTCTACTGTTACTGCCCCCCATTGTATGCCATACAAAAAATAGATGTGACTAAGATACAGACAAGCAATCCAAAAAACGGAAACACATACCACAAAAACCCTGAATCTGCTTCCCTCTCCAGGGCAACTGGAGATGTGGGTGAGATTCAATTTCTCCACTTTGTTAGGAAAAATCTTCCTTCGCTTGGGTAGATGTGGGAAAACCGCTTCATCAAGGTCAGAGCCAGGAAGCCAGGTGCTGCTGACTTCCTCTGGGAGGTGACACATGCTTTGGAAGCAGGCTTTGGTGATGCTCATTTTGGTGAGAACCCACTTGGTCAGAAGGGGACAAAAGATTCCACCATGAAATCGGCCGCTGTTCCTGATCGTGGGAATAGGGCAGGTCAGGAAATGTTACACAGAAACGGAGCACTGTTTTTGTTGTTCTTTTGCTGGGCTTTTTTGGTTTTGTTTTATGGTGTCTGGTACCTCCAGCCATCACTGTTAAGTCTCAGGCTAGAATACCAGAAGCAACAACAACAAAATGAATCTTCATGTAGGAGCCAGATACAAGGAAACACGTTACTCTGCAATCCTTCCTCATTACTCATCTGTGTGCTCCCACGGGGCCGAGGGGTTTGCTCCAAAGCACCAAGGAGGAGGAGGAAAAACTGGCCCCAAGTGCTGTAGGAGAGTCTGACCCAAGAATGGCTCGTGAACGGAGGTCCTGTCCTAACTGAACTTCGCATGAGTATTGTCTGTGGCTGTGTTTACTGTTGTTGTTTGCTTGTTTCTATAATAAAGCTTAACTCTGAGAGACAGAAGAATTGAAATAACACACCCCCACCGACATGCAAGACCATCATCTCCAGAACAAAGGATAGAACCTTGTATGTACATGGGGGGATGTTAACTGTGAGGCAAGGAGTCACAAACTGGCGGTGTTGGGTTCAACCAGCTGTCTTAGCTGGCCCACTAGGCATTTAAAAATTATTAAACTAAAATTCCCTTTATTTCAATATTTTGATTTGAAACTCTGATTGCTAGCCCTGCCCCTTTTTTTTTCCTGCATTGAACAATGGTTGCCCCCTCTAGGGTGGGCATAGTCCCCACCACCCACCCACCCTTAATTTCCCAGCCTTCACTGTAGACTGCTGAGTTTGCGACCCCTAGCTGCAAACAGCACATACGTAAAAACACATTTCTTCACCCAAGCCTCTCTCGCACCCTCACGCCATCTCCATGTCTCCCTCTTCCCATCACTTCCTTTCTCTTCCGTCTTCAGCCCGCTGTCCTGATTCCTTCAGGGAATCCTTGAGTCCACTCCAACTGTCCTTTCTTTGCACCTCAGTTTCATTTTGCAAAACATATCTTTGGCCAGCCCACGGACATTCCAGAGAGGCTCCAAGCCCAGGCAGTGGGAGTTACTGAAGGATGTCTGGCTACAAACGGCTGTGTATCTCCCTCAAAACATTTTCTTTGGGCACTGGCTAAACAACTAAGTGTTTTTGGCTTTGTTTGGTTATTTTTGTTTTTTGTTGAGCCTTCTTACATGAGAATATTGGCTTTCTGTGACTCTCTAGTACCAAATATACACCAAAAACATGTACTTCTCAGATGGAGGCTGTGAAGGCAGCTCAAATAGAATCCAGAATTGAGCTGAATTTAAATGCCTTGGGCAGCCACCACACCCAGCCAATGGGCCCTGTCATCGCTTTTGTACACAGTACATATTTTGGATTACTAAACATTGATCAAAATTGATCGAAATCTCTAAGCTTTGGTTACCATGTACAGAGAAAAATTACTCAGCATGGCATTTAAATAAAAAACTAACTTTAAAAATAATTCACAAATACAATGCCCATTAATTAAAAATAATAATAATAAAATTTAAAAGTTTTGAGGTTGAATGAAGCATTGGGTAATTAACATGAAACCCTATCAAGAATGCTATTGATACAATATATTTATATTTATAATAACCAGATTTATACTTTAAAATATTATTGAGATTTTCTAAAAAAGGAACCAGAAACTCAGCTAGAAATAGTTGGAAAATTTAGCTGTGCTCCATAATTCATCCAAATGCCTCATCATCCCCTATTTCAACTTAAACAGAGGAAGGTCAGGCTGAGGATGGAAATCATTACACACACACACACACACACACACACACACACACACATTTTCTCTCTCTCTCTCTCTCTCTCTCTCTCTCTCTCTCTCTCTCTCGGCATTGACTTTTAAAGTAATTAGAATGAAATCCACTGTGCAGTTTCTGTCTGTGCCAGAAGCTGGTAGAATGACCCCTCGTACAATGCAGTACCTTAAACCCAAACATTGGCCTCAAAGCACTAGGTATGACCTCTGGGGTCTCAGGAGAAACAGTCTCAAAAACAACCCAAAGAGGCTGCTTTTCTTTCAGCCCACGGTTGCAAAGGATAGGAGACTACACAGCACTAATGCCAAATTACCCTAGGAATAATTCACTCCAACAACTGTGCACAGTGGTCAACAGGGTGTCCTAAAGAAAGGGGATTTACAGTGCTCTCTGGAGCTCAGAAATTAAATAATAGCCTTATTCATGTAACTACTTCTGTCTTCTAAGGTTTGCCTAAAAGTCTAAGGAAGTATATGTCTTTATTGTTGGTTTTCTTAAAAAAAAAATAATCAAATGTAAGACGGAAGCTGGCTGCACTTTCCCACCAGGCAAAAGGGGGACTGAACACTACAAATTTGAACTGCAGTAAAGAGCTGTTAGAAACCTTGGAGGCCAAAGGCTTTGAAGAATGGGCTCCTGGGTATGAGACACACCCAGCCCAGGGAAATTTATGCCCAAGAGAAGAGCAGAGCTCAGCTCAGCCTCCTCTGCCCACTGACTGAGAGCGACTGATATCCAAGCTGCTGACCTACACAGGAATTGTTTCATAAGCCACAGGCTGAATCAAGAGCCCTTAAAGCTTCAGGTAGCCCTAGGACTACCTAAAGGTATCTGGACAATCTAGAACTTTCCAACCACAACCTTATCACTGGGTATCACTGAACCCATGCCAGGCACCACACCAAGCATTTTCTCCTCATATGTCCTTAACTTCTAAAAGAAATCTTTGCAGAGGGGTTTGCTAAGAAGCCTCGAAACAAAAAACAACAAAGGGCTGCACCCACCAACAATGAGCTCTAGCCAGGTATCTTTATAGACAAAGACTGATCTGCATCTTTTTTGAGACCAGAACTCTCTTAATTACCCATCTTGTTCCTCTGCCTCATGCCTAGTTCAAAGTAGGTGCTCAATGAACAAGTGCGGACTGGCCAGAGTGACCTGGAGGCATGTTAATGGACACTGCCTGCTTTTCAGAGCTGTGGATCTTTGGAATAACTGTCCCCAAACTCCTTTTAGACACAATCCTTAGTTCCAAGAGCCATTACAAAACAAGAGAATTACTAAGCATAAAGTGCTGTTCTTTCTCGAAGGGTCTCTAACCAGCTCTTGACTGCCTCTCAACATGTCATCTCATTTTTGACAATTCCATTAATACGATTTGACAAACCTGTGATTGCACCATTACAAAAATGTCCCTCAGAATCTTATCAGCTGGACTAGAATTTCCTATTCCAGTTATGGATAAAGATTCTTTTTTTTTTTTTTTTTTTTTTTTTTTTTTTTTTGTCTTTTTGAGGCAGGATCTCCTTGTAGCCCCAGCTGTCCTGGAACTCACTACGTAGACCAGGCTGGCCTCAAACTCACAAAGATCTGCCTGCCTCTGCCTCTCAAGTCCTGGGATTAAAGGCATGTGCCACCATGCCTGGTGGATATTCTTTTGTTTTTCCTTTAAAAAGGAAACAAAAAATAACAATAAAACCAGGGGCTGGGGAATGTAGCTCAGTGGTAGAGCACCTACCTGCCATTTGTTAGACCCTACCCACTCCAGTCCTGGCACTGAATGAAAGAAACTCCCCTCCCCACCCCCCAAATAGGCCAACTGAAAAACACAGTATCTAACAAATATGTATGTCAAAAGAATTCTGGGATAGGGAGAGATGTGAGTGTGTGTCAAGGCCATACAGGATGCTTTAAGGCCTTCAGATGATGAAGCAATTATGTTGGGTCGTGCAACCAGGGTGCGTGGGGGGGGACACATTTATCCTACCAAAGTCTGTGGAATCCTCCACATTTTTCAATGCCTTCTACATACAACTCATCTCAAATATAACTGCTACTCCACCCCCATCCTGTGGAAAAGGCTTTCCGAGCATTTAGTCAAGTGAGGTGTAGTCAGGATTTATGGTTCATCTTCAGGAAAGCCCTGGGTGCGTTGACTCCGGGGTAAGGGGCACCTGGCAAGGTAGCGGGGACCCCCATAAGCTCGGAGAAGCTGAGGCAACCTTCTCCAGGTGGACAGCAACCGTGCTGCTGCAAGCTCCCGGGCATGTAGGTCGAAAGGTGCCAGGAGGTCAACAGGAGCGGCCTCACGCAGCACCTTGGGCAGGGGGCCCACCTCGGTAGCCGGGCCACCAGGGCCCAGGACACAGTGATAAAGCTCCCGGCGTCGCAACAAGCAGTCCCTAAGAAATTTTACCAACTTTTCCAAACATTCACTCAGGTGTATATCATCCCAGCTTGACGCCGGGCCACCATCGATCAGAAGCACCGCCAGCAGCACGGTTTTGAGTACATAGGATGACAGGATGCGTCCCCACTGGGCAGCTGCCGTCGGGTCCAGCCCTCGGGCACCCAGATCTCGGAGAGCCTTGAGCAACTGCAGGCACTTGAGGTAGCAGGCACCTGGAGGCGCCCGTTCCTGAAGCCAGCCCAGCAGTTTCTGCTCCTGGCGAGCGGTGTTCACACCCCACAGTGCCTCTGCTCGCAGGCCACCCGGGAGCTCTGCCAGGGCCCCGCTGGACGAGGGCGGCGGTGCCACCAGGAAGACGCCGTCGCCCAGATGGACAGCAGGAATGAGACGCACGGCCATGGAAAGGCGACAGCAACCGTAGTCGGTGCGACAGGGCAGAATGTGGAGGGTGGGAGGCTGCTCCAGGCCACCGGGGGTCAGGGTGACCCGACAGCGACCCTCCAGGCTGTAGCGCACGGCGGCCAAGGAGCGTTGCAGGTGCGCCTGGAACCAGCGCAGCACCAGAGTGGCGGAGAGGTGACGCCGCCCTTGTACATCCACGCAGAAGCCGTCGGCGAAGGGTTTGCAGTCCCGATGCCAGTGGCTCGCCTGGACCCCAGACGGTGAGGGCGGCGCCTTGAGGGTGCACAGGAAGCAGCTGCGGAAGGCCGGGTCCAGCGCGGACTCGGACCCCAGGCTCCGCGGCTCCAGTGCCACCAGCGGCGGGAGGCGCAATGGTACCAGCACATCGAAGCTGTCTGGCCGGCGGATTTTATGCTGCTCATACGCACTGCCCACCTGGATGAAGTCTCCCCGGAAGGCCAGGGCCAATGCTCCCCCCGGGATGGGGCCTGGAGACCCCCTGGCCCGGCCAGCGCGCACCAGTTCACCCACGATCCGGCTGACGTGTGCCTTGCTGTGACCCAGCACGTGCGGCGACAGGCGCACCTCATGCTCGTAGTAACTTTCCAGCAAGATGCCCAGACCGGGCTCCTGCAAGGGTCTGGCTAAGTTGGAGTGGCTAGCCAGGCTGGCAGAGCCTGGCAGGAGGCGCTGGCGGACGGCGTGGCGGCATCGGAGGAGGACGTAGCCCAGGAGGAGAAGGATGGCCACCTTGAGCAGGGGGAAGCCGCTGTCCACGCTGTCGGGGGGCTCTGCCGGGGCGCCCCCACCGCCCCGTAGGACATGGTAGAGGCACACTAGCGCGGTGCACAGGCCGGTCACAAGAGGCCAGAAGACGCGCAAGTTGAGGGTGTAGTGCACCGACATGCCGCGAGCCCGGGGGCTGTCCCCGGCCCGGCATGCGCGCAGCACCCGGGCGGCCCCGTGGCCGTGGCCTTGGCGGCTCCCAGCGCCGGGCGGGCCGCCCTGCAGCCCGGCCTCCTCTCCCAGCTCAAGTTCCCCTCGCCGCCGCCTCCGGCGCTGCACACCCGCGCTCGGGCCGCGCCCTGTCCGTCGCGGTCCCCGCCGCTGCCCCTGGCCAGCTTCTGCCTCGCACTCCTACCCTACCCTGGGCGGCCCTCCGGGATCGGCGGCCGCTGCGCAACGGCGGGAGGCTGGGTCACTCGGGCCCCGGGATCTTCTTCTTTCCCCGGGAAGGCCGCACCAGGAAGGCGGGAGGAAATGCCGGAGTCTGCAGGCTCGCTGGGCGGGTAGGGCGGCCCCCTTCCCTCCCGGCCTCCGCCTTAGAGTGACGCCGGGTGGCCGAGGGACTGACCTCCGACGGCCACCCCGGGCCCCTCCTGGAAGGCAGCTCTGGGGAGGCCTGATTTCGGGGCGGTGGCCTCATCTGATCCCGCTGGGAGGTTGCAGAGGAGGAGGAAAGCGCTACGGCCCCACCCCCAGCAACTCCTGCTGCTGGTGGCGTGGCAGGCCCAGGGGCGGAAGTGGCCCCAGCCTCTGCGGCTGAGCTTTTCTGCAATCCAGCATTCACTGAGCACCTAGTAAGCGGCAGGCAGGAGACCAGGAGCTGGAAATCCAATTGACGGCTTAGGAGAGGCTCTCCCGCTGGCCTTGTGAAAAGGGGAGCCATCAGAACGCAAAGATTGGCCCATGCCTCTGATCCCTGTACGCAGGAGGCTGGATGGTGAGTTCAAGGCCAGCCTGAGCTACGTGGTGAGACCTTGTCTCAAAACAGATCTCACAGCCAGAAGATGCTCTGAAAACAAGCTGAATGAAGGAGTGATGATGCAGTTAGTCCCCAGGGTTGTCCCCAAGCTAGAGGGTGGCCGACGGAGTGGTGCTGGGTCTGAGACCTGGGAGAGGAGAAGCCTAGATGAGATAGTTTTTACAGGACTAGCAAAGTGACTCAGCAGGTAAAGGTGCTTGAACTCAACCTGAGTTGTGTCCCAGAACCCACATGGTGCAAGGAGAGAACCAACTCCAGATAGTTGTCCTCTGACCTACACACACACACACACACACGCACACGCACACGCGCACACACACACACACACACACACGAAATAAGTAAATGCAATGGGCACGGTGCACTCCTTTAATTCCAGAACTAGGGAGGCAGACAGAAGCAGGCCGGTCTCTGTGAGATCAAGGCTAGCCTGGTCTACATAGAGTTCCGGGCCAGCTGGAACTCTAGGAAGATCCTGTCTCAAAAAAGAAAGAAAGAGAGAAAGAAAGGAGAGAGAGAGAGAAGGAAGGAGGGAGGGAAGGAAGGAAGGAAGGAGGGAGGGAAGGAAGGAGAGCAATAAGTAATGCAAAAAAGAGTTTCATAAGTGTTAGTCATGTGGTATATATTCACTCTGCACTTTATTGCTAGTATGTATTGATTAGATATTAATACTAATATCTGTTCCTAAATAGGTATTATCTTCCCAGGTTTTCAGATGGGAAAACTAGGGGCCAGGCAGGTTTAGCAACTTGCCTAAGGTCACACAACCTTTGCAGGGCTGTTCCTTGAAGTCAGGCACTTGCATCCAGAGGAACCAGGGGCAGGAGGCCCAGGGAGGAGGCCCAGGGGTCCCACGTCTGCTGGGAATTGTTCTGAGTCTGTGAGAACTATGCAGTTCCGGGACAGCCTCTGATTTTTCCATAAGACAGACACTCCCAGAAATAACCTGAATTGATTTGAATAATGGTCCTTATTCACACTCACCTTCCTTACTCCCACTGTTGTTTAACGAGAGCAAGGTAAATGAGTTACAGAGTATCAGAGCCCAGCTGGAATCCAAAACCTGGACAGAAGGTTCCCTTTGGGATTAGTCCAGGAAATACTGGCAGAAGTAGTTCATGCTAAGCAGAACTAGCTTTGGGGAGTGTGTATGTGATGCGTGTGTGCAAGTACACACGCACTCACATGCATATATGAAGGTCAGAAATCACCCTCGGGTGTTGTCAGGTCCACCTTGTTTTTTGAGACATAGTCTCTCTCTGGAACCTGGGGCTTGCTGATTAGGCTAGGCTGGCCGTGGAGCCCCTGGGATCTCCTGTCTCTACCTCCCCAGCACTGGGATTACATGCATGAGCCACCATACCATCCTCTTTTAGCTGTCCCTACCCATGAGTGCTGGAGATGGAACTCAGGTCCTCATGTTTGTGAGGCAAGCATTTCATAGACAGCTATCTATCTGCACAGCCTCCAGACCTACTTTTGGATGCTATGTCTGCTCCTATAAGCTAGGAGACCATAGCCTAGCTAGCAGGTTACAAGGGACAGAAACATAGATAGAGCTCATTTAAGAAAAAAAATCTTGAATCATGCTAACCTACATGGGGTTCTTGGCTCTGATTTCTTCTAAGTGGGCTATGCTCTGACAGGTCATCTCTACATGCCCTGGTATGCCAGTCTCACATTTTCCTGGATACAGAGGAAAAGAGACCTAGCTTTCCCGAAATTTGTTACAAAAGCCGTGTGTCAGGCTAGCGTTGGATCACATTGTGATAATGACCAGACAAGAACAGGCACCTGTTATACCCTCCCCTGGGTTATGCTCCTACCACCAAATTCTATGTGGAAGCCCAGTCCCTGAGATGACTGTATTTGGAGACAGGGTTTGGGGAGCTAATTAAAGTTAAATAGGGTGGACCCCTAATCTGATAGGATTTGTGGCCTCAAATGAAGGAGAGAGATAGTGATCCCTGACTGCACAAAATCACAAAGAAGTGGAAAGAAGCAACAGTCTATGAGCCTGGCATGGGGTGGGGAGGGGGCACATCAGAAGAGCTTGATCTTGTGCCTTCCAGCCACCAGAACCACTCTGAGATAAAGTCCCACTGTTTGGCCCACTCATTCTGTGGATTTGCTAGCAGCCCAAGCTCACTAATGCTTTGGGTATCCAGCTCTGGAACCAGGACACAGGCTCAGCCCTACCAAGACCATTGAAGACTACAGCAGGGACGTCCCCCAGAGAAAGTCACAGTGCTGAGGTGGGGGACGAGGGAGGGATGTGGTGGCCTATGAAAAGAACAGAGTCTGCCTTATGTGGTTGTATCCTAACCTTGCTTTGCTCTGGCCTTCCCATCTCCAGAGTAGGGAGGGGGTGACACTAACTGGGTGATTAATTTTTCCATATGGGATATGGTGGCATGCTATCTCCAACCATCCCAAGAACAGTGGTTCTGTAGGTTAGAGGTCAGCAAATGCTCTTCTTCGCTTTTTACTTTAATTTTTAATTTTTAAAAAATGTTATGTGTATGAGTGTTATGCCTGCATGTATGTAAGTATACCCATGTCATACATTCCCTGAGGAGGTCAGAAGAGGCTGTCGGGTGCCCTGGAACTGGAGTTATGGACAATTGTTAGCTGCCATGTGGTGCTAGGATTTGAACCCAGGTGTTCTGCAAGAACAGTCAGTGCTCTTAACTGCTGAGTGCAGCAAATGCTGTTTGTCAAGAGCCACCCTGTGCATAGTTTGGGTGGTGAGTCATATTTGCTGACTGCTTGTCTCCTTGATGGCCCAAAGCAGCACTGTCATTTCTCAGGGTCCCCAGAACAAAGTGACATAATGTGACTTGAAAATGACAGAAACAGAGACTGGACAGATGCTAAGGCTTAAGAGCATTGCTGCTCTTACAGGGGACCTGGGTTCAGTTCCCAGCATCCACATGGTGGCTAATAACTGTCTGCAACTCCAGTTCCGGGGGATCCAATGTCCTCTTCTGACCTCCATGGGCATTGCATGAATGCTGTGCACTTACATACATACAGGCAAAACACTCATATACATAAAATAAATAAAATTTAAATGACAACCACCTTGGCACCTATAATCCCAGGCTGAGGCAGGAGGATTCAGGAGGATTGTGAGTATGGGGCCAGCCTGGGCTACATAGTGAGATCCTGTCTCAAAATATCAGAAAAATAAAACAAGAAACATTCTCTAGTGCAAGTATTTGTTCTTCACACTTCTAAAGGCTTCATTGCAAAGCCACATTGTTGGCCAGGCTCCTCCCCATCCACAGGACCCAGGGTAGAACCGTCCCCTGCTGCTCCCAGAAGCCCTTGGCGTTCAGCAGCATTCCACCCTCTTCTTGTCTATGAATTTGTTAGTGATGTCTGTCTTCATCTCTCTCTCTCTCTCTCTCTCTCTCTCTCTCTCTCTCTCTCTTTTTCCCTTTGTCTTTTGTCAGTCATAAAGTGGGTATGGTGGCTCATGTCTGTAATCCCAGCACTTGGAAGGTTGAAGCAGAGGAATTATGAGTTTGAGTCCAGCCTGGGCTATAGAGCAAGACCCTGTTTGAAGAAAAACAATTAGTTATTAATGAATTGATGTGAAAACCATTCTTTTTTTTAATGTACATAAATGTTTTTCCTGCATGTATGTAAGTACACCCATATATGCAGTGCCCACAGAGGCCAGAGGCTCCCCTGGAACTGTTAGCCATCATGTGGATGCTGTAAGAGAAAACTAGCCTTCCTCTCCTACACTCTCCTCACTTCCCCATCACCTCCCCCACCTGCCTTCAACCCTTCAATCACACACCTGCCTTTAGGCTTGCTGTCACCTCTTCCCCATTGCCTCTTCCCTGGTCGTTCCCTTGGTGTTCCCTTTGCCCCGGGCCCTATCCTCAGGATAGCCTCATCTCTCCCTCACTTCCTCCTCATCTCTACTCAGTATCCTCCATCAGACACTCCTTCCTTAACCCTGCCCACTCTGCCTTAATGCAGCCGCTCACACCCACCACTTTCAGTTCCCAAACCTTACTTTACTTTTCTTCTAAACATTATTCCCCTCCTTCCCCGTGATACAATCAGTCATCCATATCCCTGGGTTCATCCAACTGTGCATTGAAAACTGTTTAAAATTGCATCTCAAGGACAGGTGAGATGGCTCAGCAATTAAGAGTACTGGCTGCTCTTACAGAGGACCAAGGTTCGGTTCCCAGCACCCACATGAGGGCTAACGACCACCCATAACTCCAGTTCCAGGGAATCTGATGCCTTCTTCTCACCTCTTTGGGCACTGCATGACAGGATTCACTTATATACGTGCAGGTAATACACACACACACATAAATAAAATATTATAAATAAATAAGTAAAAATTGTATCTAGGACTAGGCAGATGGCTCAGTGGGCAAAGCAGTTGCACAAGGACCTGAGTTCAAATCTTCAGAACCCTCATAAAGCCAGGAGCCTAAGTAGGCACCTGAAATCCCAGCACCCCTACATTGGAAAGAAAGAACTGGCACCCAGGTTGTTCTCTGACCTCCAACCATATGCTGTGGCTGCATGCACACACATACACACATCACATGCACACACAAAAATAAGTAAAGACTGCACCTGTCCTGAACATGAACAGAATTTTTGTCTTAA